CTCGGTGATCGACATCTGCCAGGAGGTCATCAAGCAGTCCAATGTGCAGATCCTCGTGCCCCCCGCGCGCCCCGACATTATGCTCTTCCGTCCGGGGGCTGCCGACCTCGGCTTCCCTCTTGACATGACCAACGGTGCTGCTTTGGCACCCAATGGCAACGGCATCGCTGGCATGCCCGAAGACGAGGCCGCGCGGGCTGCGCTCACGGCTGCGCAGTCCTCCCTCCCTGTGCTGCAGGGTGTGGACCGCCTGCCCATGGTGGCAGGACCTCTGTCCCCACCGCTGCTGGCCTCGCCCTTCCAGAACGTTGCTGCTAGTGCCCCAACTTTAAGCACCAAGAGGGGCAGAGGGCGTCCCCGTAAAGCCAATCTCTTGGACTCCATGATGTTCGGTACCCCAGGGGGCCTGCGAGAGGCTGGTATCCTGCCTTGTGGTCTCTGTGGGAAAGTATTTACGGATGCTAATCGTCTCCGTCAGCATGAGGCTCAGCACGGGGTGACAAGCTTGCAGCTGGGCTACATAGACATCCCACCCCCAAGACTGGGCGAAAATGGCGTCCCTGGTCAGGATGACCCCGATGCACCCCGAAAAAGAAGCAGGACGAGGAAACAGGTGGCGTGTGAGATCTGTGGCAAGATTTTCCGGGACGTGTACCACCTGAATCGGCACAAGCTGTCACACTCTGGCGAGAAGCCTTACTCTTGTCCAGTGTGTGGCTTACGGTTCAAGCGGAAAGACAGGATGTCCTATCATGTTCGATCCCACGATGGGTCTGTGGGAAAGCCCTACATCTGCCAGAGCTGTGGAAAAGGCTTTTCCAGGTAAGAGAGCACTTACAAGGACCATAGATGCAAACGGAGACCTAGGAAGTTGTCTTTCCTATCCCTTGGGAAACGAGAACAATTTGTGCTTAGGATAGTTTGGCTCTTCCCCTTTAAAATGTCTTGAGACATGAGACTGCCATCATTTCCACTGGGACGCTATTCTACAGTCTCTCGAAAGGGTTTTAAAGTAATTAAGACGTAGAACTGGGAGTCAGCTGGCTTCTGGGTAACGTTTCCAGCTTTGTCCCAGGCTTGGTGTATGCGTGTCCTTGGGCGAATCAGTTAGTCTCTCCCTCAGATGACTCTTGTGTGAAATGGGTATTGAAATAATTACCTACCTCACACAAGTGTCTTGAGACTACTGATTTGTAGGCAGTTTGAAGGTGCTGTTGAAGTGCAAAATATTAATACATCTCAAGATTATTATTTTTCTCGTATCCATTTTAAATTTTCTTTTTCTTAACTTCCCTTCGTTTCTCTTAGTTCGTAATGTTTTTTATCACCCAAATGTGAAGGAAGAGGTGAGATTACAAAGGCTGCAGCATCAAGTATCTTTTAATACATGATCTTTGTGTCCTTTGGGTTTACATCCTTCTGAAGGGGATCCTGTTTCTGCCCTGCAACATACGTAAGATCTGTGCATTTAATGTTGCTGCTTTTTTGTTGTCACTGTTTGTGGGAGTTAATTTAATAAGTAGTTTGATACACGTAGTCGTGTTAGTGGTATCTTATAGTCTGAGTTAATGAATTTGAAACTTTTTTGGAAGTTCAATGCTCACTTTGAGACTAGAAGTAGTGGGGGGAGGGGGATGCCTACGCTCTCTGTTACTTCTGTAGCAGCAGTCGGTTTTCTACAGCAGTTGATTTGATCTAACAGGAGGGAAGGAATTCAGATACGAAAACAAATCAAAAAGTTACTAGGGCTAGAATTGTCCCAGCTATATAAATGTAGGAATCGTGTCCCCACTAGCTCTCTTTTTGTTAGAGGGACTTTTTGTTATTGACATAAATTAAGAAAATGAAGAGTTGGTTTTTTTTTTTTAAACTGGCAGTAATTAGGGATGCATCTTCATAAGGACTGCAGATTTAGTGATGGAAAGTCATAACATGAAAATTTCACCTGTAGCTGGAAGTGAAAGTATTTTTTTATATAGTGCTACCTGGGGATCATCTGCCAACTTTTATTATTCACACTTAAAGATTTCTGCTGTTGCTGTATGAAAGGTTTTTGTCAACAAGGGAAAGTAGAGGATACATGGTGAGTTCTCCTTTGTCCCAGTAAGTCAATGTGAACAGGCAGG